AATATTCTCTTATCATTCTCCCAATAACCCTGGAAGGATACAGCTCCAGTTTACAGATAAAGGTACAGAGGTAATGGTTCTTTCTCAAGGTCATGCTGTCAGCAAGTGGCTGGGCGCTTAAGAGTCTCTCAACCATTATTCTCTCCTGACCCTTCTGGCACTGATTTCCCAGGAGGGCAGGTAGGAGTGGTGTGGAATGGCCAGCAATAATAATGGTAAAATGTTGACTACCTTGGGAAAGAATGATAGTAAATGCACTATAATAATCATGATAGCTCACATGTATATCCACTGTTCTAGAACTTTCCATGTATGAATTCATTTAACCCTCTTAATAATGTGCCTATACATTAAGTACTATTATTGTCCCCATTTTACATATGGGAAAACTGAGTCTTGGGTTTTTGTTTCTGTTTATTTTTTTTAAAGGATGACTTCTGAGAAAAGTATTGCTGGCTCGCAGTAGAGACTCAAAACAAACATACTGGATACACACACACACACACACACACGTTTTAAATTATTATTGAGATGGAGTCTCGCTCTGTCGCCCAGGCTGGAGTGCAGTGGTGTGATCTCGGCTCTTCTTGGCTGACTTCTTGGCTGACTGCAACCTCCGCCTCCTGGGTTCAAGCGATTCTCCTGCCTCAGCCTCCTGAGTAGCTGAGATTACAGGTGTGCACAATCACGTCCAGCTAATTTTTGTATTTTTAGTAGAGTTGGGGTTTCACCACGTTCGCCATGCTGGTCTCAAACTCCTGACCTAAGGTGATCCGCCTGCCTCGGCCTACCAAAGTGCTGGGATTACAGGGGTGAGCCACGCTGCCTGGCCTGTATGTAGAAAATATTGATTCTGCATATAGCTGAGCACACCCTTAAAACCTACGGGAATTGAAAGTGGTAGTTCCTACCCTATATGGCTGGCACAGGCCTCCCTCAAACACCTAAGGTACAGCTGTGAACATTCCCCTTTCTCTATTAGGGTAGGGAAAGTGGAGAGCACCCCATATCCAGCATAGAACACAACAAACTATTTTCCTCCAGTGAATTTTCTTTCCCTTCTACTTAACTTACCAGAGTTGAGAAAAAACGGGTTTCCCCAAATTAAACCAAAAGCACAATAAAGGCCGCAGCTGCTGGTATTCTGAGGTCAGATGTAGGCTGCAGAGAGAGAACTTCATCCGGGCCAGTGCAGGGAGCCCGAGCACGGGGGAACCCGGCCTGGGAGCGCAGGAAGGCAGGTGGTGAGTAATTCTCCGGGTGTCCCAAGGGTATGAGGGGCGGCGCTGGAGGGAAGCCGGGCGGGGCATCCTGAGGTCAGGGCGCCAGAGGCTGCAGAACCCTGGAGGGGACGCCCGGGCGGGACAAGGCAGGTAGGAGAAGAACCCAGAGGTGTGGGAAGAGGGTGTCGCAGAGTCAGGGCGCAGCACGGGAATAACTGTGGGGTAGAAGCCGGGGGGTGGGGGAGAGGGCGGAAATAAACTCCACGGAGACCATAACCTGCTGCTGCCCTCCCAACACCGATGCAAAACAGCGAAACTCCTGGCCGACGCCCTCCCCTGCAGCGCAGGCCCCAGTTACCCAACTCCTCCCCTGCGCTCCGGCGCAGAGCGGCGCACTCTGCCCGCCCCTCCCGCAGCCTCCCCTTCCAGGCCCCGGGAGCGGTCCCATCCCTAACACTAACACACCGGTAAACGGGAACACAGTCAGGCTCCGGCCCGAGTCCTCCGCCTCCCAGGAGGGTGCACCCGACATCCCGCACGCCTGGTCCCAGGAGGGGAGCGCTTATCCAGTCTCCTGGACAACAGAACCAGAGAAAGACGTGTCCCAGCCCTCTCCACAGTGCTATTTGATTTTACTCCCTTCCTCTCTTTCCTTCTCATTCACTTTTCAATTGTCTTGCAACTTGTTTTCCAGGCAGTTTCTCTTTTTCTCTATCCTCCCCAAACTTCTTGTCCCTCCCCATTTCGTCGCCTGTTTTTTCTCTCCCTCTTCACCCACTTTTTTTTCTGCCTCTTCCCAAATTCCACGCTTTGGACTTCGCGTCTGTCGCTCAACTTCCTTTTTCTGCTCCCCGCGATACATCTAAAATGTTTTTCCCGTCCCTGGAACTGGGCAGCCTCAGCCTGACCCCTTTCAGTCGCGGGAGCCCCCAGCCTCTCCAACAGGAGAGGGAGAAGGCGGGGAGAAGTGGATGGGACCCCCGGCGCCCGGGAGCCGAGCGGAGAGCGCCCCGAAGTGCGCACTTCTCTTTGCCAGCGCCCGGGCTGCGCGGGCCCACGCGACATCTGTCGCCTGCGGTCCCGGCTCACACCCCGCGCACCCCCGCAGCTCCCTGGGCGCTGCCACCCCCCACGCTCCGGCTGCCGCCTTTCCCCGCGGGCGCAGACGCTCGGGCCTCGCCTTCAGGCGCCGCTCCAACTTCCCAGGGTGTCTGCGGCGCGCGGCGGGGCTCGGCGGCGGGGACCCAATGGCGGCTGGCTATGTCACCTTTGATATTCACCTTCCGGCCCTAGACTCATCTATGGTGGGCTCAACCTGATTCTCCCTCATTTTCTGCAGCGCTCCTCGCTACTCCAGGATCCAGAGTAGTAAGACGATGCTTACACTGTGCGCTTCCTCAAAGCGCCTAGCACAGTGCCAGGCGCACAGCTAGGGCACAATAATTCCCCCACCCCAAGAACCTAGTATCTTCCTCCCACTGATACCGACCACACTAGGCGCTCAATACCCACTTCCCGTCCTAAGTTCTCAAAGCATTACCCCCCTAAACAGTGCCCAGCACCCCGAAGGAGCTCAATAAATGTTCCTTCCTTAAGGCTTCCCATTGGAGTTTGCCTGAAAACCGTCTATTCCAGCCCACTCCGAAGGCGTCTCCTTCCCATCGCAGCTACAACCGTCTGGAGAGAAGGAAGCCAAACTCCTTAAACAGGACACCTCACTGGAGAAGGAGCGACGTTGGCAGGGCAGAAGAAAACTGCAAATGCGCGGAGCTTGGGAAGAAAGATTGGGCCAGCCAGAAACCTGGAAGGGGAGGAAGTCTCGAGATGCGCTTGGGGTGCCAGAGAATGGGGATCAGAGATTGGAGAAGTGACACTTAGGAAGAAGAGGTTGGGAGCAAAGGTGATGGAGACGGTGGCGACTCAGGAACAGCAAGAGGCTTGGAAGGGGACCGAGGACCTTTCTTGGAACTGCGATAGACTTTAAGTATTTGGCGTGGCTTACAACTATATTCTCATCGCAGGCACACTTTTTATTTGCATTGTGTGTTTATTTGTGGGGCTGGTGGGGATTATGGAGGTTGAAGTCCTCCTCAAGCCACCGAGCTATAAGTGAGTAGCAAGATGCGCTTAAGGACTCGGAGAGATAGGGGCAGAAATGGTGGACCTGACACTTGGAAGGAAAGACTGGGGACTGGGTAGGAGAGGGGGGCCGGAGATGCTTGCAGGAGAAAAGAACGGAGGAAGAAGGAGAAGGGAAGAGAAAAAAGCCAAACTTGCCACTCTCCCGCTCCCGGGCCAGTGCCCAGCTGCCGCGCCCTGGCTCTCGGTCGCTCGCTCGCTCGCGTACCTGTTGCTTGCTCCGGCTGGGTCTCGGCTCCGGCCCCACCAAGAAGCCCCGCGTTCCTA